ATAGTTTTTCACTTCTATAAAACAGAAATAACACTGAGAAAGGTTATGTTTTATCAAAACAATTTATTTACAAATATATGAAAAAATAAAATGTACATAGTGAAACATTTATTTCTATAGTCAATGGCAGTCAACGTAAGTTTTTCAATTGACGTCTATACGTCAATGGCAGTGAATGAGTTAACTCATTCACTGCCATTGACGTCGTAAGTTTTTCAATTGACGTCTATAGACGTCAATGGCAGTGAATGAGTTAACAACACAAAAGCCATATTTTTCAATTTTTTGATGCATTTATTTATTTATTGACAGTTCCGCTGATGAGGCAACTTGCCGAAAAATGCAACGAGAATGGTGCTCGTTATGGCAAGACCTAGACCTACGAAGCTCACAAAGTTGCCAAAATCACTCTGTGATGCTTCCTAATGCCTCATCTCATGTTCATTCAACTCCTTTTGAATGATGTCCATCTTGTCATAAAGCCTTATATTTTGCTCTATGACAAGCTCGAGGCGCTCATCTATTCTCTCCATTGGCTCACTTTGGGGCTCCTGCAGGTCCATGTCTGAAAAGCACTCAACACAAAAGCCATATTAAACGCAGACTACTTTAGGCCTGGAAGTAGGATTCATCACGTCATCACTGAACAATCGAATTGGCTCGTTTAAAAAGAGGGAGGAGCAGATTGCACCGCCTAGCGTCTAGTCTTCCCCAGTGTTGCCAACAACAAGGGGGAGAAGCATAACATCTTTAGCTAGCAAGTAGAATTGGGTTAATTTACTGTCATTGTCTTTGGCAAACATAATTAAAAGTTAATTACTAAACTCTTACTGCCTATATTCTACTCAATAAAGTTCATCTTTTCTTATTCTGTTTTCATTCCGCCATTCTCTCTCTACAGTTTTTGAATTTACATACTGTAACGTACACGGCAGTTTTTTTCTGTACTTCTGCAACCTTTTCTTGGGTTTTCCTATAAGGTATTTGTAATTAATTAACATGAAATTTCCCCTTGTGGGACTAATAAAGGTATCTTATCTTAAAAAAAATTATTCTTTTTTTGGCTTTACTGGATTCCCACTCACGTAACTTGGCCATTATGCACTATCCAGTAAACAAAATGACTGAACAATATCTTAAATGTTTGAACATGAGCTAGTCATGCCATGTAACGTAATATTCATGTGCAGTATAGCAAGCTCACCTTATAGGGGTGTAAAACATGAGGCGTATGAAGTGATTGTTTAAATTACAACAGTAGATGCCTGCAGCTGAAACGGTTTTCTGATCTGAACCTGACCCTACTGGTCACGTTTACGGTAATGTTACCAGATATGCGTTGTACTATAGGAAAACAGTGGTGGATCAGTGTGCAAAAAGCCCCCAAAAGAAGCACACAGCTTCTTTAGCTCAAACACTGTCTGATCTCTCTCTTAGATACTGTGCTGTTCCATCTAGTTATTGGTTATTGAGAAATGTTTGGTTATTAATTTATTAAGAGAGTGCAGCTGTTCGGTGAAGTAGGAAAATGCAAAACATGTTACTATAGCTGAATGCTGTGTAAAATACTAGTAATAAATCTAACTCCCATTTATGGCTTTTACTACTGTGGGGCTAAATAAAAAATTACAGACATAATGAAATCTGCTACAATTACAAAGCTTAAGTTTAAAA